TCTACCATGTGAATGGCATTTTGGTGATACAGAATCAGCTGCCTTATGAAAGAGGTAACCAAAATAAAGAAATTTGCCAGGTACAGAATTTACTATTTCAAGATGTAGTAGTGGGTAAAGACCAATGATTTTGGAAATCAGTCAAACCAAGCTTTCAATCTTGGCTGATCAATTAGCTATACCTTGGGCTGGTTATTTCAACTTTCTGAGGCTCAAGTTTCCTTATCTGCAAAAACTCTAAAATGAACCCCACACATCTCTGTGCCTATCTTTTTGTATTTGAAAACTCATTATGTGTCAGATATTGTTCTAGATCTTTGGGCCATATCATATAGTGAAAAATACTATAAAGAAAAAAAATTAAAAAGAGAGTGATGTGACAGAGAATGCCTGGTGGGTGGTCTCAGGAGAGGACATTTGGGCTGGGACCTATGCAGCGAATAGGGGAAGAGTATTTAAGATAAAGGAACAGGCAGTATAAGTGCCTTGACATTAGTGTCACTACAGTAATGCATAAGGGAAAAGATGGCAGGGAAGGATCAGGGACCTGTGGGCTTGAGCAGAGATTTTGCATTTTAAGTGTGCTGGAAAGTCAGTGGAAGTTTTAAAAAAAGGAGAGACATGGGTTAATACATGGTTTTGCTTATGTGTTTCTGTGGCTGCTATGTGAAATATACATTGTTAAGGGAGGGAAAGGCATATATGGTTTAACTAGGGTAGAAATTGTGGAGATGGAGAGAAATGGACAAATCTGGGATGTTTTGGACATTTAGGCCCTTTCTCCTCTTGTTCCCCCAGGTACGTTACCTTTGTCTTTCCCCTAAGCTCCAAGGGCCCTTCTTCTGCCTCTATAACCTGCTTCCTGAGCCTATGCAGCCCAGCTGGCTCACTTCTACTACACCTCTAACTTTCTAAATAAACTTTACCTTATAATTTGGGGGGGGGGTGGTTAATGCAAGGATGAGGCTTAACTTTTTTTGTCTGAACAAGTGGGTAAAAGGTGTTACCATTTACTTAGATGAGGAACAGATCGGTGAGGATGAAGTGGGTGGACGGACAACTGGGATAAAGAATTTTGTTTTGAACATTAACTATGAGGCACCTATTAGCCAAATGGAGACTGCTAAGTAGGCTAGTAGATATGTACACTGGCAGTTCAGATGAGAGGGCGAATTCAAGAGCCACGGGCATATAGATGGTATGTGAAGGCATGGTACCAAATGAGGTTACCTTGAAGGAGTGTGTGGACACAACAGAAAGGGAGTCCAGAACCAAGCCTTGGGGCACTCTAACTTTTAAAGGATTGACATGAATATAAAATGAGACTGTGCGTATGAAATGCTTAGCAAGGACCTGGTACATGATGAGTATACATTAAAAGAACACATGCATCAATACTGGAAACTTCACTGCTTAGTTTTATAGAAGATTCTGCCATAGGGCTTTCACAGAAGATTCTGAAATGGCCTTTCACTGACAATACACATTTCTTCTTCTTTTTACCCACATAAATCTCTCTATTCTAATACGGAACCCTTCCTAGGAGGACAAATAATAGTACGCATATAAGCAGATCTATCCAGATAAATATTACCTAAGAATTTAGCAATATTCAGATCTTGGAAAAATGTTAGAGATGTAACCTTGAATGGTGGCCTTGATCAAAGTAACAGCCCCTCCATCAACCTGGAGCCTAAGAACTAAGCTTCCTTACCCACTAAGAACATGAATGCGCTCTGTATTGTATTTCAGTGGCGTCAATTCACAGCGTAGAACTTGAAGTGCCTCCAGGACCTTGCCATCCTCCAGGTATTCCAGGTACTTCTGCTGCAGCAGCAAAAACTTCATCCTCTGACATGATAGAAAGCAGCAGTCAGGGGAAAAAAGTTGATGGAAGGTTCAGAAAATGTTTGTGCCTAAACAGAACAGTAGAAACCATTCTACTACGCCCTTTGACAATAACTTTTTATAAAGCTTTAATATGACTCAAAATATTTTGGTTTAATAGTCACAGTATATTAAATGTGACTTTGCTCAATTCCATGTCTTAATAAAACGGCTCTGAACGAATAATCTCAAATTAGATACAATCATTAATGACATCAAAACGGGAAAAAATGAAATTCTGCCTTCAAAACATTCACCTACAATTTATTTCTTTTATAAAAATTTAGAACTGTTCTAAGTATTCTAAATTTGCTTTTTGTAAAAAGTCTGACTTTTATAATAGGGCAATAGGAACATTTTATGGAATAGGTTTTGAAAAAATTGCAGAAAACTCAGTTAATAGAGGGATTATTTAAAATCCACAATGTGAAAGACTAAGGAGACCAGAAAGCAGAACTAGAGTCATGGAAGATACAAAGTGTCAGATTTTGGTTTATCAAAGGTAAGAAGAGCTGCCCAGCAAATGGTCTAAAGTTTGGTGTGCAAGGTACTGAGTTTCCTATGACTAAAGTGGACAAGAATAAGCTTGGTTGGACTCACTCTAAGAAGGAATAAAGGTTCAACTCAAAGGTCTTTAAAACGATTCAATATTTGTATTCGTGGATTGATAACAATCTGATTGATCACTGATGTATTTAACTATGAAGCACAGACATTTATCAGCTTTCTCCTCAAAGGATAAACCATTTCCAACTTATGAAGCACTTTAGTTTTTTTCTGAAATGTGCTGGGCTTCAATACTTTCCAATGCTCCTTTACTATATTATTTTACTTTTAACTTGAAAGTAATTTGAAAGTCTTTGCAGCTTTTTGCTAGAGGAAAGAGATATTTATGAATATCAGGCTTGGAATTTCTTTTAAACCTTAAACCTAATTAGTAAACCTAACCTTGGAGGGACTTCTCATTTTATCTACTACTTGTGATGCTTGCAAGCCAACTGATGTAGGTAGAAAGCTCTGTTAGCAGATAGGAAATGTTATATTTAGAGACTCCAAGAAATATAGTGGTAAAACTCTCAAATCCACTTACTTTAAAAAGCGTTTAATGCGTACTTTAAACTATTAAAATATACTGCTCTCAAAAAATGGTTTGAAGAAATTATTTATTTACAAAATTAAGAGTATCATATAACTGCTCTACAAGATTTTCTATTAGGGAGTACTTAGGAGAAAGGCATAACCTACAAGCTTATAAAAATGGCTTCTAGAGAAAATAAATAAAAACAAAACCTCTCATATAAATTAGGCATACATTTAAATACATCTTTCTAATCTTAAATCTATAGCTAAAGAATAGGAAAAAATTCAAACTATGAGATAAGCTCCTATAACTCTAGAAAAATTACACTTACCAAATTTTACAAAGTTAGATTGACTAAATGAGCGTTTCAGAAATAGATTAGTTTCCAAGATGCCCTAACAAGTGTTGCTGTACATGTAACCTTAAGTTTACTTTTATATATCAAATTAAAAAATTCTATAAAGTCCATCAGGTGACAAAAAACAAAAGGCTAAATAAAACAATTTAAAAATCAAAAAACGTATATTTGAAGTTAATTCTGGATATTCTCACCATTTTATCCTTTTAATAAAACTTCAACTCTTTATGAAACGAGTGCGTATATTTCCACTTTATCAATATACTGTTAAAAGTTTCATATCACACAGTGTTTTTGATTCAAACTTGAGAATCATGTTTAGTTGCAGAATTGTTTCATTTCAATGCCACATGGGGGCTGGCCAGCCTGTGTATTTTATTTCTTCACTAAATTTTCTTAGCAACTGGGAATTTGGGGCAAAAAATTTTTTTTAAATTCAGGGCAAATTATTTATTTGATATCAATCATTAGGTCCTATGCACACCCCTCCTCCATTCCAATGTGTGTAGGGACAGTGTCCCGAGGGCTATTTTCCCCTTATTTTCCCACCAAGATCCTGCTAGAACATGTTATTCTGTTTCTATGGGGCAGAGGCAGGGGAGGAGAGAAGAGGAAGGCAGGGTAAAACTTTGAGAGAAGCCAATATAAACACGTTTTTCTGTATACAGGGAATGCTATAAAAGCAGTGCGAGAACATTTCTCTCTGAGTCATTTTATCCAGATTAAGACAAAGAATATCCTGAAACAGATATCAAGTCTTGGTGGTGCACATGGCAACGAGCACACTGCTGGCCAAGCAGAGAGAGATGTGGTTGAGAGAAAATGTTTATTCTCTTTAAAATCAGTTCGAGTATTTGATGCCCATGATAAGAATGGAGAGTAAAACTGTATTTTACTTCCCCAAATTTAGGGCACAAAAATGCAAATACAGTTTCAAGAAAATGAACATCTTTCAAAAATGATGTTATTTATTTACTAAAAAGGTTTTAAAAATAAGGAAAAACTGAAGTTTGCTGAGATGGGGTCAGTGCTTTACTCATGTTTTTTTAAAAGACCACGAGCTTCTTAAATGAAAAGAAAGAAAAAATGTACTCTCCCTTTCTATCTTTCCCCAACTCATTGTTTAGATTATTTCTGGTCTCTGCTAATTTTGTAGCATCTTTGGGTCCAGCAGTGTTTCTTTCTTTTGCTATCTAGTAGAAACTTGAAATTAATAAGTGACTAAGATAGCTTGAAAAATAGTTCCACATGGTAAATCTGGCTGTTGCCTACCCAATGTTTGCACTGGTTTATATCCTTTCCTCTCATACAATTACATTGAACTCAATGTGAAAAAAACCCCCAAAAACCTCAGAAGTTACGATACACAGGAAGTCTGTTTATCAGGGACAGCCTCTTAGCCAACTTAGTAGTGGTTCGGACTAGCACTGGAATAAGGTTATAGCCAAGTCATATCAATTAAATGACTCAGAGGAAAGGGGAAATGAATTATATTTAAACCATGGCTCTCAAAACTCCTCCCTATTTGACTTTAAAATATACTAGTTCTCTTGTACATTAATATTTGAATACTTTTGTTAGGCATATTTCTATCATACTGAAAAATAATCCAACATTTTTAGACATACAAAAGTTTTCTATGTTATTGACCTCAAATACCCACCCCAATTCCCCAAACTAAAAAAATGTTGATTCATGAGCTCAGCTTCCAGAAAATCCCGAGCAAATTCTGCTATTTCTAGTATCACTTGACTGGAAACCATTTAAAAATATTGGGGGTGGGGAGGTGCAAAGGGAAGAGTGGAAAGTGGATTGGGTCAATAAAAACATTCAGGTCTAAAAAGTAAAATACAATTTTAGTCTAGACTAAGTCATCAAGTGTGTCTCGGTATACAGTTAAAATAATTATGTTAAAAAAACACAGCCAAATAGTTGTCTTCTAAGGTATTATTTACAAATTTATGTTTACATTAGATTATCTTCTGGAGATGAAGGGGGAGAGAGGAGTAAATCTAAACATAATTAGAAAGGTGAAGAAAATGCTGAACTGCATTTTTAAAAGCAATTGATTCATCAATGCTTAAAGTAAGATAAAAATTGGAACCCCTTTCTTTGTATAAATACCTAAACAGTTTGATGGCGTGAGGCTCAGCCAGAGATTTAATCTTCATCTTTTATTAGATCCTAGAATGTTCTACAGACTGAACAGGCTGTAAAAAGAAAGGATTCCTCCTTATTATCTAAAACTACCTTTATTCAGTTTACATGTTGCTTCTAACGAAGGTTTCTAATGAGATACAGTCATAATCTAAATCCAATACAGAAGTCTCAAATTACTATAAAAATGTAAGAAAAAAGGGGACGTGAGCCTATTCAAATTTTTACTACTAAATTACAGATATAATTTGGGTGAAGCTTAAAAAGGGAAAATAGTCCTCCGAGAAAACATACCCTTACTTTAAAATAGTTCATGGGCAAGTTCTTTATTGTTACCATATAAGCAGTGCTAACTTGTCTGATGGGAAAAGAACCCCAATTCTTATTTTGGCCTTAAATGCTTTTATTTTATTTTAGGGTCACCTTCCATTCTGTCAGAGCTAACAATTTAGGAAAAACTGGCCAGTTAAAATATACTTAGGTGTTTTTCTTTTTAAAACTCCAAACACACTAATTGGGGAAAATTTAGTCACTGGAAAATTTGTAATCCTTTTGAATAAAGATGTTTATTTATTTTATCTTCTGTGTTTTCATTTTAAAAATTTACCATGGAATTGATTATTCCATGAGTTAATTAATTATCAATTATCTGACTCAATAATAGTAAGTTAAAATTTTTAGTATTTTAAGTATTTAGTAAAGAAAAAAGATAATACAAAGATCATCAATTTAAATGAACCCGTATTTGTTCATATTTGTTTGCATCTTTAATTTACCTGAAGGCCATTTTCTAGGATTATATTATTGTATAAAATTACATTAAGAATTTGAAAACTCTTTTGTAATTACGATTTTTTTTGAAAGCCCAGAAAACAAAAACAGGAGACTCTATTAGGTTTATAGACAAAGGCAGAAAAGATTAATGTTTGACCCAATTTAAAAAAAATCAAAAGTAACACTGGTTTACTAATATTTAACAAACAGCTGGTTTCCTTACTTCACTTCCTATTCAGGCTTGTCCCTCCCCCACCAGAGAGGAAACTGCTTTTGACAACAAATCAATCAGCTAGAAGTTAAAGAGCCAGTAGGAACAGGCCAGCAGCTGATTCTTCATGGTTTCCAAGCACAAGCACTTAGAAAAAACTTATCCCCTCCTCTCTCACCAACATCTACTGAAGAATTAAAGCCTATCAGTATAAAAGATTCATCAAGGTTTATGAAACAGGCTAACAGGTAAACTACTAAATTGATCTTGTTGGGGAAATAAGGCCAGTAAGCAGAGCCCAATGGTCAAATCCACATACAAACCCTCCACCAGAGTCAGACATATTATACAAACTTTGACACTGTCAATTCACACAACTGGAACGCAAGAATGGAAAATGGTGAGCACACCACTGGAGCTGGCTTGAATTAAGTATAATTATAATTGCCAAAGATTTTTTAAAAATTTAAGTGTCAGCTACTCAGGGCTATATAGATATAAACACACCCAAGCACATTCTTTACCAGCACGCTCAGTATTTTAAATGAGATAAAAGTATAATTTGCCCTTGATTCTAGAAGTATAAAACTCCTATTAAATAGCACAAAAAGCATGATCTTTCAATATAATTTTGTAGAAGCTTAATTTATAAACTAGGTTCAAATGACATTACTAAACATTATTCTAAAAATACAAAATTCAAACTTTAACACATAAACACTCATCCTAGTTTACAAATTTAATTTTATGAAATTTAATTCTTTTTAGGCCTTATCTTTTCTAAGAGGCAGAAGCCTAGAGTTATCAATAACCTACTAACATAAGCATAAATGTGAAACTAAGAACAAAAGTGTATTTACCACAATTATTCCCAACAACGTTTGAGAGATTTCAAGTGCGCCTCTTACCACAATAGCATGAGGAGAATGCACTAAAGGCTTTAGTTCATTCAGGTCATTTTCTGCCTGCAAAAATTGGTATAAGAGAAAAACAGAAATGTCACAACATGCACATCAGATACATAATTTTAGCAGCAGTCACACAGCTCTATAGGCCCTACTTTACCTTATCCCAGTCTCCTTCCATGACATGATTTCGGAATTTGGTAGCAGAAGGATGTTCTAAACGACATCCTGACTCTTGCATGAGGAGATCAACAGTCTGGCTGCAGGAGAGATACAGTGTAAAAAAGACCTGACCAACTTCAGGGTTTACTCTTCCAAATAAACTAATGTCTATGAAAACAGTTGCAAAAGTTTTTAAACTAACCTCATGAAGAAAAAAGAAATAAATAGCTTTAATGTGCTTGGCCAAACCAACTTGATTTCTAAACTGCCACCTTCATTTATATCGAGTCAAGTTAAAAACCTTCCTGAAACTAGAAGCAAAGTAAGTTCTTCCTACTTTTGCCATTTAATGCCTCAGAAGTTTAAATGAAGTATAAAATTCTAAAAACATGTTGTAACCAAATGGTTAAATAAGCGAGAAACAAAACAAAACAAAACAGGATCTACAAACTAACCCTGTTAAATTTCGAAAGATAAAAAAAAAAAAATGTTAGCTCCATACAAGGTGATAGTGACGGCCTGTATTAGGCAAGAGCCTTACATCCAGATATCATGTTTGCATAGAAATTCTAGTAGGTCAGTCTTTAAAATTAAAATAAATCCAGCATCAAAAATCATCCCCTTTCTCTCTATACTAAAAATAGCAAATTTACTATGGTGTAGGTTCCAAACAGTCACGAGTTATTTCCTCCTGCTGCTGTCAGCTTGCTTCTGGTCTCAGTAATTCGTTGTTAGCATTTATCAAAACCTGTTTTCATACTAATTCCTTTTCCTTTGGGCAAAACAGTGAAATCTTCCTACATTTCTCTTTGAGAACGTAAAAGACTCATCAAAAGTGGTTTACACATTTTGATACCTAAGAATCCTCCTTTATCAGTCTTACGTTTATGTTTCAATGCTTTCTTATTCAACCCCATTTATTTTTCAGCTAAACAGCGCAATCAACCATCTGCCTGAGAATCAAAATACTTATGTCACTTTTTAAAAGTGCTCTTTCCCCCCACCAGAACAAATCTGTAAATCCAAGACGACAGCATTGATTAGCATAGGAGCTCATTTTTCTACGTGGTGGAGCTAGGAAACTGGCTGTTGCATGTTTTTCCCCTTAGTCTGAGTCTAGTTCTGCTTCTGCATAGGGCTCCAGAGCACTCTCACCAACCCTACCTTCCACCCCTCAGTTTTTCTTTGTGTGTACACAAAACGATGGTTTGGGGCCAAGGTCGTCGTCTACCTTCACCCTATTTTAGGTACACAAGGCCACCTCAATTGTACTGGAAAATAAATGATTCACCAGATCAGATGTCCCTTTTTCAGAGGCAATCATCTCTTGGTATTAAATTGGGATTTCAGTCGAGTTAGTGGGTAGGCCTCTCGTACGCACAGAAGGGCCTTTAAATGGTATCAACATGGTATCTCACTTCATTATCTCCATCAGATTGGTTCAACAGCCTCCTTCCCACCGACCCCGGCCCCTCCGTTCCCATAAACACTTGTCGGCGATTGTCTTTGCTGATTGGTAGTTTGCCCGGGTTGTCTGTCAGGGCTGGGGGTGGGGAGGCGTCCCACAAAGATGCCTCTGAGATACACTTGAAAAACAAATCCTCCAAGGTTCATTATTTCCACCAGCTCTAATCCACCCCTCCCCCAACACATAGAGACACACTCGCATGTCTTTATTGACAGACAATTGGGCTCTGAAGGTGTGTGGGGAGGGGGAGATCTTTTGGTTTCTAC